TCGGTTTTGAAACTGTTTCATTGCTATTTGTTTCTCAATAAAATTAATTTAAAAAATTAAAAAACTACATTTGCTAATGCATAGTTATACAAACTTACTGTAAACAATTTCCACCAACAATCCTTTGTGCAGTTAGTTTTTCTTTTCCATTTTTTGGGAGGGCCTCAAAATATCAAATTTAAAGAATCTTTCTTGGCAGAAAGGACATTTGCAGACAAGAATGACTAAGATGTGATCCAATGCCAAGAATATCAACTATGAAATACAATTGTACCATGCCTGGAGCTTGTTGGGGTAGAACAGGAAATATTTTATTCCTTAAGGAAGTTTAGGTCACGGTCGTGATTTCTATAACTTGTTGCAGTTAACAGAAAGGGTAAAAGACAGCATGTGGTTTTCATGGTGTTTTACTATAGGAGTCACCTCATTTTTCCTGTCAAAAGATAGACAATTATATAGTCACACGGTGATGTAAGCCAGAGGATCATGGCAAATCACTTTGCAGTAAGAGGGACCAGGAAGACTGAGAAATACTAAGTTTTAAAACTGTAACAGAACAGACAGCCATAACACTTTATGGCAACATAGTATGGGAAAAGGAAGCCCTCTAGCTCCCAGCTGGTGAAAACAGAAAAAGTCCTGAAAATCTCCACAGGCACAGACTCTGGCATCATACTGATGCACACCATGAGCATTCAGGAGGCCTAAGATCTGTGTAGCTGGAAGGCACAGAAGAACTTTCCCATATTTCCTGGTGCATTCCCACGGGCCACAACCGAGAGCCATATTCTGAGGTGGCCTATTGTCTGAACGTGATGCTCAGAGGATCAGAAGCTCCTGCGATTTTACCTTTCCAAGACTCAGCAGTACATGCTGCTCAGTGATGCATCAGGCAGGCACCCTAGAGGACAGCATAGGCCCAAGGAAGTGACTTTGGCTCAAGTTTGTAGAGAAATCTATGTAATGGGAGGAACAGGCTGTGACATCAAAAGGAGAAGGTGCTTCCAGTTGAATCTGCATAGACCTAGTGAAGAGGAGCAAGGTCTGCTGTGTGTGGATTCACACAGGGGCTGTCCAATAACTGTTCCTACCAGAGCACACTGTCCCTCCACACAGATTGTACTGATTTAGTCACCGCCTCCACGCTCAAGAGGCATACAGGGGACAATACACCACCGCATCTGAAACACCACATCTGGAACGGGCTCTGGGAGTGCAGGTGATCACCAGACAGGCCATGGGCTGGGCCAGCAAAGTGGGCTTGGAGGTGGCATCCACATTATTGATGAACACAAAAAGCCACTAACGAGAATACAGTCACACAGAAGGCATTGTCTTAGCCACAGTGGTGGGCAAAGGAAAGCAGGCCTCACCTTCTATAGGGGCCTATGCAGTTTGGACTCTTTGGCATTAAGAAGAAATATCCCTAATTGTACCTGTGACCCATTACCCACCCCCTTACTCCTGGCAGTCTCCAAAACCACAACTCACAGAAAGAACATTCTCTGTGTCCATATTAAACATTCAGCAAGGAGGAATTTTTGACTTTTTATTAATTGCTTTTTTCATTATTTTTTACTGTGTGTTTTGTTTCATTTTTCTTTTGATTTCTCTATTTTTCATACATTTAACTATATCTATGTCTACATTATTTTTTCAGTTTTATTCTTATGTTAATTTTACATTCATTAATGTTTTTAATCTAGCCCATATTATCTCTCCCCCTTCAGTTATTTGTGCAATAGATGCTTTCCTTATTATGCTTTGTGCATAAAGTCTTTAATATTTTATTGTCAGACGTTTTCTTTCCACAGAAGAATGGCAATGTTGTATCAGTGCATATTCTATAGACACTTCGTATCATAAGTAACTAGCCTGAAAGACAGACACAGCACTGTTAATATGCTCCTACAATATGGCTATATCCGGTTGTTTCCCTGTAAGTTGTTGGAACTACTGGTTGTGTTCTCTCAAAATCATGCTGGAGACTGAGCCCAGAAATTTGAACATTGATGGGTGTTTTGTTAGAGAGACACATCCCCAACCCAGTTAAAAGAAAATGCCCCTTACTCCATCAATGAAGTAGTCTGGCTCTACCTTAGATGAATGTTCCAGAATAAAGAATTGAAGAAAAAAGCCCACAGCTGATGATCTAGTCCCAAGTAAACAGACGGGAGAGGCCTGAGGACCCACTACTGAACAGAAAGCACAATAGAGAGCTCTCACACAACTGCCTCAGCGCCCACTCAGGAGGGGCTCTAACGCAGGTTCCTCCCTGAAAGGGTCCTGCTCTTTCAGGCTGCGGTGCAGACAGTCTGGAAGGGTAATGGCAGGGAGCGTACTTCAGGTGTTCCGGTTCCTATAACATAATTGCCTGAACTACTAGGGGCCCCACACACAGAAGTCCTACAAAGCGTGGGCCCTTCAGGTCCCAAAACATGCGCTGTAAAAGTCCGTCAACAGCTACCCAAGAAGCTCCTGGGAAACCACACCATGTAGCGGAACGTGGGCTAAAACTACGCTGCGCAACAAAATTAACCCAGCATCCATTACCAAGACAAGGCTATCCCATAAGAAAATCTGGCGTTGAGGTAAAAGCGATATCCATCCAAAGGTGTGTATATATCTCAATATAGAAATACAAAAAAAAAAAAGAAAAGAAAATATGCCCCCACAAACTTCACAATTCTGTATTAAATGAGTCTAAAGATACTGATGAGGATGAAACACCAGATTTTTTTTTTTTTTTTTTTTTTTTTTTGAACCAGGGATTGAACTCAAGCCCTTGTGCTTGCCAGGGAAGCACTTATCCTACTGAGCCATCTCCCCGACCCCGAAACACCAGATTTAAAAAAAAAAATAATGATTTTTCAAAAAGATCAATTTCAAGAGAATGCATTGTCATAAGTAAGACAATGGAACATATAAAAGATATTTAATAAAAGAATAAAGATTTTGAAAGAAAACTAAGTAGAGATCATAGAAATAAAAAGTTCAACAAATCAGATGAAAAAAGGGCCTGCCAAATAGCTCATCAGATTAAAGCACCTGCTTAGGCAGACGCAGGGGTGGGGAGTTCAACCCCTGGCCTGGCATGCCTGCCACGCCAGCCCCACCCCCAGGGCACACTGAGATGGTGATTGAGACTGGGCATAGTGACGTGTGCCTATAATCCCAGCACCTGGGAGGCTGTAAACAGGAGGATCACTATGAGTGCGATCTACACAATGAGACCCTGTACACCCTGTCCTCAATACAAAAAAAATAAAAAATTCAGATGAAAAAATTCAACTGAAAGTCCATCCAGTAGAACAAAACAAGCAGAAGAAAGAATATCAGTGTTGGAATAATTATCACATTCAGAGAGTAACAAACAAAAAGAAATTAAAAGACCAAATTTAAGAATAATAGGTCTACAAAACCCAGCTCTTGGGAGGCTGAGGCAGGAGGATTGCTGCAAGTTGGAGGTCAGCCTGGGCTACAAAGTGAGTTGATGGCCAGCCTGAACTGGGTAGTGAGACCCTATCTCAAAAACACTAATAACAACAACTAATAATAACAACACTAATAACAACAATGATAATAGGTTCGGAGCACCGGAATGAATCAGCAGATGCTGTGAGCTGCAACAGCTGGTGAGTGACTCCATTCCAAAGGTCCTCAACCCACTGGAACTGGAGAGAGTGGTTGGATGCCATTCCTGGGAGGGGTTGATTGTTTCAACTCAGGAATCAGAGAAGCTGCAGATCAGCTTCAACTGAGGCTTCCCAGTGTTACCTTCCCACAGCGACCAACAGAGTGAGGCACTGTGCTGGGAGACAGCCACAGCTGCGGTCAGGCTGGCAAGAGACCCCAGTGGGGGTTAAACTGAAGGACGCAGGCCCTGCCCCCACCACCAAGGCCGGGTTCAGCCTGAATTGCTCTGATTTGCAAGTTGCTGAGCTGGCACCCTCATCCCTGTCCTACTGCCTGCTGGTACCCAGACCCAGCATGGACCTGAGGTCTGCCTGCATTCTTCATCTACCAGCATGAGGACGGACACATCCTACACCCTGCACAAAACTGTAGGTCCCAGCAGGACTCCACGAGTTCAAAAATCACAGAAAATAGTTTTCATTTTGTTTGCATTTGTACTTATGAGTGTGTGAATTGCTTTTACTTTTGGGGGGGGTGGTTTTGTTTTCTCTTTCTTCCCCCTTTCTTCTTCACCAGTCTTTTGGGGACTTGTGCAGTTTTCCTTTGTCCTTCCTTGTTTATCCCTCTCTTATCGCCTTTTTTCTTTTGTTCCTTTTTGCCCTTTAATTCCCCCTCTGTATTTTTTTCTGTTTTTACTCTCAACATAATTTTTTTCCCTTTTTTCTTTTATCTTCTATTTCTCCTCAGTTTTCTCTCCTACCTTTACCTAATTCTATAAACACCCTTCTGCTCTGAATAAGATCC